GGTTCAGATCATGGCTAGCGCGTACGTCGTATGCATGTGTGTGTGGTGAACTTGAACTTCCTTCACACCGTACGTAGCCAACCGTGCTAATCGGAGGTGCCAGGGGGCAGGACAATAACAACACTAAACACCACAACAACAACAACAACACTAAACACCACCACCACAACAACAACAACAACACTAAACACCACAACAACAACAACACTAAACACCACCACCACAACAACAACAACACTAAACACCACCACCACAACAACAACGATGACGATTTTAAAGTGCATTTATTCTAGATGTGAAGCTTTCGTGACCGCAAGGATTCATATTCTTAGGTTTTTTCGGTAAAGTCACGTAGGTGACAGGAGGTCCGTCTATTTGAGTCTGCACAGCTGTCGTGGCTGTGACGGTTCCACCTGAAGACGGAGGCTTGTGTTGCCTCCGAAACGTCGTGATTTTTATTTTATTTTACTTTTATTAATTTTAATGTTTCACCTACGTGACTTTACCGAAAAAACCTAAGAATATGATTTTAAAGTGCATCACAGCTCCCAGTCGCTTCATAACATTGACGAGGAAGAGAGCGTTCCAGACGGCCGCAGACTTATCGAGCGGCCGCTTTGTTTTAAGCGAGCAAAACCTCTGGACCGGGTTAGTTTTTTACGTATGAAGTATAATATTAATAATAAGTAGAATTGTTATAATTATTATTAATGAATTGTCATTTAATTCAGCGTCGTCCAACAGCGAATGCATTGCCCGGGGCTGATGAGTGAGGTTTGATGCGTTTGCTCTGGGATGTTGACTACCTCGCCTGGTGTACAGGAGGTCCGTCGGTTCGATCCCGACCCCTGATACCTGCTGTACATTTGGAGTCTGCGTGTCTCTCTGATCATCATCATCATTGCGTTTGCTATGGGATGTTGACGACCTCGCCCGGTGTACAGGAGGTCCGTCGGTTCGATCCCTACCCCTGATACCTGCTGTACATTTGGAGTCTGCGTGTCTCTCATCATCATCATCATCATTGCGTTGGCTATGGGATGTTGACGACCTCGCCTGGTGTACAGGAGGTCCGTCGGTTCGATCCAGACCCTGACGACGCCCGCTGCTGTCTATTTGAGTCTAAGTGTCTCTTGTGTGTCTCAGGCCGCGGTGAGATCGTGAGATAGGGCAGAGTGAGTGAGCCAGAGCGAGCTTGTTAGACAGATGGCAGTGAGAGAGAGAGAGAGTGGGAGGGGAGAGCGAGCTAGAGCGGTCGAGAAGAGAGTTATATAAGCGGGTACAGTGCAGACGAGGGGCTCTCATCGCAGGGAGAGGATTCCCGGGAGGGGAGAGGGGGGAGGGAGGGAGACAGAGAGACGCAACTCACACGCAGAGTGTGCGGTGGTGGTGGTAGTTGTGGTGGTTGGGGTGGTGGTGGTCGAACACAGTGTGGTGGTGGTTGTGGTGCTGGTTGGTAAACACGGTGTGGTTGGACATAGTGGTTGGGGTGGTGCTGGTGGTTAGTGGTCGTGGTGGTTGGACACAGTGTGGAGGTGGTGGCGGTGCTGGTAGTTGTGGTGGTTGGGGTGGTGCTGGTGGTTGGGGTGGTGCTGGTGGTGCTGGTGGTGCTGGTGGTTGTGGTGGTTGGGGTGGTGCTGGTGGTTGTGGTGGTTGGGGTGGTGCTGGTGGTGCTGGTGGTTGTGGTGGTTGGGGTGGTGCTGGTGATTGGGGTGGTGCTGGTGGTTGTGGTAGTGGTGGCGGTGCTGGTAGTTGGTGGTTGTGGTGGTTGGACACTAGTGTGGTGCTGGTGGTTGTGGTGGTGGTGGTGGCGGTGATGGAGATGAACCAGTGGTCTGGGGAATCGACAGAGATCGTGGGAGGAGATGGGTGTGGTGCAGAGGAAGGGGATGGCGATGGTGGGGGGAGGATGGAGGGGACGGGGTGATGGTGGTGGGAGGTGGTGGTGGGAGGTGGTGGTGGTGGGGGGGTGGTGGTGGTGGTGTTATTGGGGGGGGCTAAAGGAAATACAAAATCTTGGACCCCTATTGACCTAATGGAAAAACACACGCGGCCCGGGATACATCTGCGGCGTAGCTAATGCATGCCGTGCTGCTGCTACTCGCTAACAGCACTTGCCCCGACAGTCTATTAGAGGCTACACGGGGGACCTTTGTCTTTGTCACCTTCATAGGCGCTGCTGCTGCTACTCGCTAACAGCACTTGCCCCTACAGTCTATTAGAGGCTACACGGGGGACCTTTGTCTTTGTCTCCTTCATAGGCGCTGCTGCTGATACTCGCTATCAGCACTTGCCCCGGCAGTCTGTTAGAGGCTACACGGGGGAGCTTTGTCTTTGTGCGTGTGGTGGTCATTCCTGAAACATATTATTGACGAACCCACGCTGACCACAGCGTGACCCAATGCGGTTTTGTGGTCACTCCGCCAGCGCACTAAGCACCACCGCAACTCTATGAGTCTCTGTGCAAGTCTATGTGTCTCTGTGTAAGTCTATGTGTCTCTGTGTAAGTCTATGTGTCTCTGTGCAAGTCTATGGGGTTCTGTGTAAGTCTATGGGTCTCTGTGTGAGTCTATGGGTCTCTGTGTGAGTCTATGGGTCTCTGTGTGAGTCTATGGGTCTCTGTGTGAGTCTATGGGACTCTGTGTGAGTCTATGGGTCTCTGTGCAAGTCTATGGGACTCTGTGTGAGTCTATGGGACTCTGTGTGAGTCTATGGGACTCTGTGTGAGTCTATGGGTCTCTGTGCAAGTCTATGTGTCTCTGTGTAAGTCTATGTGTCTCTGTGTGAGTCTATGGGGTTCGGTGTGAGTCTATGGGTCTCTGTGTAAGTCTCTGTGTCTCTGTGTGAGTCTATGTGTCTCTGTGTGAGTCTATGGGGTTCTGTGTGAGTCTATGGGTCTCTGTGTAAGTCTATGGGTCTCTGTGAGTCTATGGGTCTCTGTGTAAGTCTATGGGTCTCTGTGAGTCTATGGGTCTCTGTGTGGGTCTATGGGGTTCTGTGTGAGTCTATGGGACTCTGTGTGAGTCTATGGGTCTCTGTGTGAGTCTATGGGTCTCTGTGTAAGTCTATGGGTCTCTGTGTAAGTCTATGGGTCTCTGTGTGAGTCTATGGGTCTCTGTGTAAGTCTATGTGTCTCTGTGTAAGTCTATGTGTCTCTGTGCAAGTCTATGGGGTTCTGTGTAAGTCTATGGGTCTCTGTGTGATGAGTCTGTGGATCTCTGTGTGACGAGTCTGTGGTTCTCTGTGTGAGTCCATGGGTCTCTGTGTGAGTCCATGTGTCTCTGTGTGATGAATCTATGGGTCTCTGTGTGTTGAGTCTGTGGGTCTCTGTGTGAGTCTATGTGTCTCTGTGTGGCGAGTCTATGGGACTCTGTGTGAGTCCATGGATCTTTGTGTGAGGAGTCTATGGGTCTCTGTGTGAGTCTATGTATGTTGAACTTCTTTCGCACCGCACGTAAGCTAACGGCGCTTTAATCGGAGGTTGCGGGGGGGGGGGGAGTGTGTGGCTGAGTGAAGGAGTGGATGAGTGAGTAAGCGAGTGGGTGAATTAGTGGGTGAGTGTATGGCTGAGTGAGTTGTTGAGTGAGCAGGTGGCCGAGCGAATGGGTGAGCGAGTGGGTGAATTAGCGAGTGAGTGTATGGCTGAGTTAGTGAAGGAGTGGATGAGCGAGTAAGCGAGTGGGTGAATTAGTGGGTGAGTGTATGGCTGAGTGTATGGCTGAGTGAGTGCTTGAGTGAGCAGGTGGCCGAGCGAGTGGGTGGGCGAGTGGGTGAACTAGCGAGTGAGTGTATGGCTGAGTTAGTGAAGGAGTGGATGAGCGAGTAAGCGAGTGGGTGAATTAGTGGGTGAGTGTATGGCTGAGTGTATGGCTGAGTGAGTGCTTGAGTGAGCAGGTGGCCGAGCGAGTGGGTGGGCGAGTGGGTGAACTAGCGAGTGAGTGTATGGCTGAGTGAGTGGGTGAGCGAGCGGGTGAGCGAGCGGGTGAGCGAACGGGTGGGCGAGCGGGTGAGCGATTTCCGGCATCGAGGGTGTTTGTAGCTCATCATCTCATTCACAGCCGTGCAGAGAACCCGTGCTGGAAATTCCACATTGCCATGGCGGTTAACCCAAAGCGTTACTCAAATTGACCGACATCCCCACCCGCGGACCGTAGGGAGAGATGATGATGGTGATGATGGCGATCAATTAGCTGTGTCACGTGGTCACACGGGGTCGTTAATTAACGCGCGTGTGTCAATCCATTAATGAATGGCTCCCATGTTGACCCGCAGAGTCACGTGGTCACCAATCAACGGAGTTCACGCGCCAATTTAATTGCCCGTGTCTAATTGTGCCTCGTTTGTGTCTCCCACTCGGCACCACCACCACCGCCACGGCCACCACCACCACCACAACCACCACCACAACAATCTCACCATCTCACCACCACCTACAACATTTCACACCCTCTCACCACCACCACCATCTCACCATCTCCACCACAATCTCGCCCTCCGCAACCACCACCACCACCGCCTCCACCACCACCATCTCACCACCTCCACCATCATTTCACCACCTCAACACTTCCACCACCGACAACATTTCATAACCTCTCACCACCACCACCACCACCTCACCATCTCGCCCTCCACAACCACCACCACCACCATCTCACCATCTCACCACCACCACAACCATCTCACCATCTCACCACCACCACCTCACCATCTCACCACCACCACCACCACAACCATCTCACCATTTCCACCACAATCTCGCTTTCCGCAACCTCAACGACCACCACCACCACCACCACCTCACCATTCCACCTCCTACAACATTTCATAACCTCTCACCACCACCACCACCACCATCTTACCATCTCACCACCACCACCATAACCATCTCACCATCTCCACCACAATCTCGCCCTCCGCAACCTCAACCACCACCACCACCACCTACAACATTTCACACAACCTCTCACCCCACCCACCCACCCACCCCCCACGAACAGGACGAGTTCCACCCGTTCATCGAGGCGCTGCTGCCGCACGTGCGCGCCTTCTCCTACGTGTGGTTCAACCTGCAGGCGCGCAAGCGCAAGTACTTCAAGAAGCACGAGAAGCGCATGTCTCGCGACGAGGAGCGCGCCGCCAAGGAAGAGCTCGTGGCCGAGAAGGTCGACGTCAAGCAGAAGTGGGCCTCTCGCCTCCTCGCCAAGCTGCGCAAGGACATCCGCCCCGAGTGCCGCGAGGACTTCGTGCTGACCGTCACGGGCAGGAAGGCCCCCTGCTGCGTCGTCTCGAATCCCGACCAGAAGGGCAAGATCCGTCGCATCGACTGCCTCCGGCAGGCCGACAAAGTGTGGCGCCTCGACCTCGTCATGGTCATCCTCTTCAAGGGGGTTCCCCTCGAGAGCACCGACGGCGAGCGGCTCGTCAAGTCGCCGCTGTGCGCCCAGCCGGCGCTCTGCGTGCAGCCGCGGCACATCGCCGTGTCCGTCAAGGAGCTCGACCTTTACCTGGCCTACTTCGTGCAGGAGCAAGGTGAGACGTGGGGCTGGGTGGGTGGGTGGGGCTGGGGCTGGGTGGGTGGGTGGGTCGGTGGTTGTTTGTTGCGTTTGCAACGGATTCACAGGGCTGTGCCGAAGAAATGAAAGTGAAAACTGAGTGGTGGGTGGGTTGGGTGGATATGGTGGGTGGGGTTGGGGTGGATGGTGAGTTGGGTGATTGGTGGGTGGTGGGTGGGTAGATGGGTGGATGAATGAGTGGGTGGATGAGTGAGTGGGTGGGTTGGTGGGTGAATGAGTGAGTGAGTGGGTGGGTTGGTGGGTGAGTGAGTGAGTGGGTGGGTGTTGGGTGCTGGGTGGGTGGTGGGTGGGTGCTGGGTGCTGGGTGGGTGATTGGTGGGTGGGTGGTGGGTGGGTGTTGGTGGGTGATTGGTGGGTGGGTAGATGAATGAGTGGGTGGATGAGTGAGTGGGTGGGTGAGTGAGTGAGTGGGTGGGGCTGGGTGGGGCTGGGTGGGTGGGTGGGTCGGTGGTTGTTGTTGCGGTTGCAGCAGATTCAAGTGCGGCATGGCTCACAGCGCTGTGCCGAAGAAATGAAAGTGAAAACTGAGTGGTGGGTGGGTTGGGTGGATATGGTGGGTGGGGTTGGGGTGGATGGTGAGTTGGGTCGGGTGGGTGGTGAGTTGGGTGATTGGTGGGTGGTGGGTGGGTGATTGGTGGGTGGATGGTGGGTGGGTGTTGGTGGGTGATTGGTGGGTGGGTAGATGAATGAGTGGGTGGATGAGTGAGTGGGTGGGTGAGTGAGTGAGTGAGTGGGTGGTGGGTGGGTGGGTCTCTATGAGTTTATTAGATGGTCCACATTTTCCTGACCCTACCCACTGACCCATAGATGTCATGTTGTTGTTGTTGTTGTTTGTTGTTGCTTGTTGTTGATTGTTGATTGTTGTTGTTCGTGCATCACTGACAACGCAGCGGCAAGCATCGCCATGACCACCAGCACCACCGCTTGAGATAATTTGCTTAATAATTTTTGCAGCGGAATTGAGAAAAGGGCTCTGATGCTTGGAATGGAATTGTGTGTGGGGGGCTGGGGGGAGGGGCTGGGGGGGGAGGGGCTGTGGGGGAGGGGCTGGGGGGGAGGGGCTGGGGGGGAGGGGCTGGGGGAGAGGGGCTGGGGGGGAGGGGCTGGGAGGGAGGGGCTGGGGGTCCAATCGGAGCGAAGCGCCAATGTAGAGAAGCAGCCAAAGCGGCCCAGACACTGCCCCCCCCACCCTACCCCCCACCCTACCCCCACGCTACCCCCACCCTACCTCCCACCCTACCCCCCCACCCTACTCCCACCACCCCACTAAAGCTGCCTCCCCCCACCACCACCACCATCACACCACGGCTATGCGAGCCAAGATCTTCACATTCAAACCATCTCCCACCCACCCATTCATCCACCCACTCATCCACCCACCCACTCATCCACCACCCACCCACTCATCCACCCACCCATCCACCCATCCCCCCCCACCAAAGACAAAGGTCCCCCGTGTAGCCTGTAACAGACTGTTAGGGGGCCAGTGCTGTTAGCGAGCCGCTCCTGTGAAGGCCGGCACGGTGGAACGAGACGGGTGCGTTAGCAACCACCCCCGGCCGCCTTTGTCTCTCCCCAGTGGCGATGTTTGCCACACACACAGCACCAGCTACTCATTTGAGGCTGAGTCGACCTAGGGGAGGGGATCGAACTCGAGTCACCACCGCGGTTCGTAGGGGCACCCCAACCCCCCACCATCACACCCCCTCCACCATCACACCCACCCCCCCCACCATCACCCCCCTCATCACACCTACCCCCCCCACCATCCCACCTACCCCCCCCCCACATCACACCCCCCCCACCATCACACCCCCCCCCACCATCACACCTACCCGCCCCACCATCACACCTACCCCCCCCCCCCCCACCATCACACCTACCCCCATCACACCTACCCACCATCCCACCTACCCCCCCCCCACCATCACACCCCCCCATCACACCTACCCCCCCCACCATCCCACCTACCCCCCCCCACCATCACACCTACCCCCCATCACACCCACCCCCCCCACCATCACACCTACCCCCATCACACCTACCCCCCCCCACCATCCCACCTACCCCCCCCCCACCATCACACCCCCCCATCACACCTACCCCCCCCACCATCCCACCTACCCCCCCCACCATCACACCTACCCCCATCACACCCACCCCCCCCACCATCACACCTACCCCCCCCCACACCATCACACCTACCCCCCCCCCCACCATCACACCCCCCCCATCACACCCACCCCCCCCCATCACACCTACCCCCCCCCCACCATCACACCCCCCCATCACACCCACCCCCTCCCATCACACCTACCCCCCCCCCACCATCACCCCCCCCATCACCTACCCCCCCCACACCACAGCGCAACTTCCTGCCCGACTCACCTACTCTGCTCATTCCTCTCCCGCGCCGCCCCCTCCACACTCCTCCTGCTCCCCCCACCCCCACTGTGCCCCCCCCCACAGCCCCCCACTAGCCCCCCCCCACAGCCCCCCACTAGCCCCCCCCCCCCATGTACCGCACAAACCCCTAACCCCATCGCTGTTGTCGAGAGAGAGCACCCCCCCCACCGCCATGTGCGTTGCGTTACAAACGCCGCGACGCATCATCGGAAGTAGCCCACCACCCCGTACGCCTGTGTGTGTGTCACAGTGTGTGTGTGTGTCACAGTGTGTGTGTGTGTCACAGTGTGTGTGTCACAGTGTGTGTGTCACAGTGTGTGTGTGCGTGTCACAGTGTGTGTGTGTCACAGTGTGTCACAGTGTGTGTCACAGTGTGTGTGTGTGTGCAGAGACCCATAGACTCACACAGAGACCCACAGACTCACACAGAGACCCACAGACTCACACAGAGACCCACAGACTCACACAGAGACCCATAGACTCACACAGAGACCTACAGACTCACACAGAGACCCATAGACTCACACAGAGACCCACAGACTTACAGAGACCCACAGACTGCTGCTGCTGCCATCCTCATCATAGGATTAATATGACACATTAGCCCCCCCCCTCCCCCATCACGACCCCCCCCCCCTTTCCCATTCGTCCTCATCGCAATCTGTGGCTCTGGCGAATTCCTCTCACGGCAGGTGCAGTGTCGTGTGTGCTCGTTGCGCTAGGGGGAGAGAGAGGAGAGAGAGAGAGAGGGGAGACTTTGACTTTTAAACAACTTTTATTGCCGCCAGCAGCAAAAGCACTGGAGGCGATTTTAATATGAAACACACAAAGTCACCAGCAACACAAATGAAAATAAACGCTACAAATCGACGCGCTGTGGCGCTAAATGCGCCGCGTACAACACAAAATAAAAGCCACGTGGTGGTGGTGGTGGTCATCGCGCACGCCACGGTGACGAGCGAGCGCTTCAGAAGGTGAACACCACGAGGGTGCCGTCCGCGCTGGTGCAGAGAGGGGCTTGTCCGGCTCCCCAGCGTTCGAAGAAGACGTACACATCACCGACACGTGTGTGGTACATGGCGTGCTCCAGCCGGAGCCGCGCCTTGAGCAGGCCCCTGAACACTGAAAGCACAGAGCAGCCGTCAGTGTCACCTTGCAGCATCTTTTTTCTCGTTCTGTACACCGCCATCTTCGCCTGGGTAAGACTGATAGAGATGAGAGATGGGAGAACGAGGAGAGAGCTTTGCGCAGTGGCAGTATCGTAGCCAATGAGGTTTATCCGAGGCGCGATTATTGCTAATTGAAAACTTTCCCCAATACCCCGCCACGCTGACTTGAAAGTCAGTCGGCGTCGGCAATTCTTGCAAGCTCTTTCGGGAGCTTTGGGTAAAAAAAAAGAGAGAGAGAGGGGAGAGAGAGGGGACAGAGGAGAGAGAGAGAGGGTTAGAGAGATAAAGATGAGTGATGGGAGAGAGAGGCGAGAGAGAGAAATGGAAGAGAGGGGAGTGAGAGAGAGGAGAGAGAGGAGAGAGAGAGGAGAGAGAGGAGAGAGAGATCGTGATACGTGGCAGAGCTACGATCAATCATTCAATTAGGGCCAAGTCACACTTTGCTCACACCCGGCCAGGAGAGGAGAGAGAGAGACGGGAGAGGGAGGGAGGGAGGCATCTTCAGCAGATGTGCGATTCGGACACGAGAGAGAGGGGGGGGGGAGGAGGGTCACTAAGTCAGTGGCCGTTCTGCCGGCTCTACAAGTGACTCGGCAAGTGACGACATTCACATTTCCACATCGTATAGGATGGGGGGAGGCAGTGTCGGATTAAGATAGTGCGGGGCCTGTAGTGTATACGTTATTACGGGGCCCTAAATAACACACAAAAAACACGTAAATATTGAAACACGTCAATGTTTAACTTGCATAGTAAAGTGATTGACAGGCAATACGACAAATGGCGAACCTTGAACACCAGGTCGTTCGTAAAAGTCGAAGGCAGTATAGTACTATAGCAATAGGCAGTGTCGGATTAAGCTCGTGAGTCTATGGTGCAGTGTTGATTCTATGGGTAGTGTTGAGTCTATGGGCAGTGTTGAGTCTATGGGCAGTGTTGAGTCTATGGTGCAGTGTTGATTCTATGGGTAGTGTTGAGTCTATGGGCAGTGTTGAGTCTATGGGCAGTGTTGAGTCTATGGGTAGTATTTAGTCTATGGGCAGTGTTGAGTCTGTGGGCAGTGTTGAGTCTATGGTGCAGTGGTGAGTCTATGGGCAGTGTTGAGTCTATGGGCAGTGTTGAGTCTATGGGCAGTGTTGAGTCTATGGGTAGTATTTAGTCTATGGGCAGTGTTGAGTCTATGGGTAGTATTTAGTCTATGGGCAGTGTTGAGTCTATGGGCAGTGTTGAGTCTATGGTGCAGTGGTGAGTCTATGGGCAGTGTTGAGTCTATGGTGCAGTGTTGAGTCTATGGTCAGTGTGGTCTGGGGCATGTGTTGAGTCTATGGGCAGTGTTGAGTCTATGGGCAGTGTTGAGTCTATGGGCAGTGTTGAGTCTATGGGCTGTCTAGGGCAGTGTTGAGTCTATGGCAGTGTGAGTCTATGGGCAGTGTTGAGTCTAT